GAAATAACAAACATACATTTACCTTACGCTTTCGAATCAGCTCCTTGTACACTTTTAGTGTGTTAATCATCTGTTTTATAGCATTAACGATCCCAATTATCATGGATGTGATAAATACCACAGCAAATATTAGAACAGTAAACGATTCAACTAGTCTCTGAACTGCTTGTGAAGGCTGCCATGTAATAAAATGTTTAAAAGTTTCCATCGGCTTATACAAAAAAAGTACACACCTTTTCATGTAGACGACGTTTTCGACTGTTCTGTTTTCGTTTTCTTCTTTTATTATTCGAATTCATTAGAAACAAAAGCTGGAAATTTCATAATTCTTCTTTGGTTTTAGTCATCGTCAAAAGCTATTCAAATAATAAAAGAATAAAACGAAAACAGAACAGTTGAAAACGTCGTCTACATGAAAACACTTGTAGTTGTGGTGTTTCCTCCTATTGTAAAGCTCAAACAGGCATCTTTGAAGTATATTACAATAACGATACAACCTGCACTAGGACTGTCGATTATGGTTTCGCCGTCTGTAGCTTAGAGATTCAAGGACATCTTCAGTTTCCAGTACACGGAGTAAATGTTGGCTGTCTCATTCTTGATGTTGTACTTCAATCAGATCTATCATGCCTATACAACAGCTCTTGTGTAACGCAATTCAATAGTCACTTGAAAAGCGATTCACTCATAGCAGATTCGTGATCTCCATCAAAAACTGAATCTATAGACATGTCATTTGTATATTTTTGACGAAAAACAAGTTTTCAAAAAAAAGATCCAGTTTTCTGAAAAACCAGTCTTTCAGAAACTCTATACAGAGCACGAGCAGTGCCGGATACAAGTTTTAGATATTCTCTTTCTCCTTCTGTTCGTTCCACGCGACAGACCGACCGGACGCAAGTATAATCGATCAGTATTTTTTGGTGCTAATCAGCAGATCCCAAACTCGTCACCCACAATAATTCGTCTGCAATGCGGGCATGTCCGTTCAACTTTAAACCATCTTGTGATACATTCTTTATGACAAGGATTACATTCAAGAACAACTACATATCATATCAAAATTTGATGTTTTTTTTCTAAAGAAGCGTACCTCGAGATTTTTACATATTCGGAATCAACGTGACAAGACGTTGTACGGCGCAAGTCAGTTAGATGAACAGTGTTCATCTAATTGACATTGATCAAGACATATTACACAAATTCCTGCTATTGTCTGCCGTAGACTATACGATATCGATCCATTTTTCTCATTGATCTTAAAAGAGAAAAAGGATTTGATCCACTTTTGAACCTAAAAGAAAGATTTTCGTCCGAAAATGCTTTTTTAATGAAATAACAAACATACATTTACCTTACGCTTTCGAATCAGCTCCTTGTACACTTTTAGTGTGTTAATCATCTGTTTTATAGCATTAACGATCCCAATTATCATGGATGTGATAAATACCACAGCAAATATTAGAACAGTAAACGATTCAACTAGTCTCTGAACTGCTTGTGAAGGCTGCCATGTAATAAAATGTTTAAAAGTTTCCATCGGCTTATACAAAAAAAGTACACACCTTTTCATGTAGACGACGTTTTCGACTGTTCTGTTTTCGTTTTCTTCTTTTATTATTCGAATTCATTAGAAACAAAAGCTGGAAATTTCATAATTCTTCTTTGGTTTTAGTCATCGTCAAAAGCTATTCAAATAATAAAAGAATAAAACGAAAACAGAACAGTTGAAAACGTCGTCTACATGAAAACACTTGTAGTTGTGGTGTTTCCTCCTATTGTAAAGCTCAAACAGGCATCTTTGAAGTATATTACAATAACGATACAACCTGCACTAGGACTGTCGATTATGGTTTCGCCGTCTGTAGCTTAGAGATTCAAGGACATCTTCAGTTTCCAGTACACGGAGTAAATGTTGGCTGTCTCATTCTTGATGTTGTACTTCAATCAGATCTATCATGCCTATACAACAGCTCTTGTGTAACGCAATTCAATAGTCACTTGAAAAGCGATTCACTCATAGCAGATTCGTGATCTCCATCAAAAACTGAATCTATAGACATGTCATTTGTATATTTTTGACGAAAAACAAGTTTTCAAAAAAAAGATCCAGTTTTCTGAAAAACCAGTCTTTCAGAAACTCTAAAAGGTAACTAAAACCTTTCTTAATGAGCCATAATTGTAGCCCGCAATTTTCTGATTAAAAAAATGAGACATATCCCAGCTCTACACGATCTGTCTTTGCAAAGTTATAGAATTTACAAGAAAAGTCCCGAATGTTCATTGTCAGCTCAAAGCTACAGAAATAAGAAATTAATTTAGGACTTTTCTTGTAAATTCTATAACTTTCCAACTAAACACCAGCACGTTTAATCATAGGGTTCAAGAGATTTTCATAATTCAACAGCCAGTAATCGTTGTATGGACTATCAATTATACTCGTAAATTTAGTTTTTAATGGGCATTAATTTGGTATATAATACTCTGTGATATCATTTGTAGTTTGAGCGGTACCCCCCTGGAAAAACATTTTTTCGCACCCTGTATATAATGTTCCGGGTTAGGATACGCTGCGAGAAAAGGCTAGACGCCAGCTTGCCTCTAGCGTATCCTTTAGTCTGATTGGTCGAAATTCTAGAAGCAAACTTAGAAAATATTAATTTTTATCTAAATTTTTACGTAACATGATGCACGGCATGCAGGGTTACTGTAAAAAATAGAAGCGCCTGTTTAATGCACCATTCGATAGAGAATTTGACGCTAATCAGGAATATCGAACTCGTTTTTTCAAACCTATCTCACGTTTTTTGAGAGGTGCTAGAGCCAATATTTATGCATGACTCGATCCGCTGGTTGTTCCTCTTCAAAAGTATACGTAAAATTCACAATGAGAAGTAAAATATAGCTAATAAATCATTGGTATATATAGAGTGGCATAACAAAGAAGTGAATGTATATACGTAAACTTGTGACTACTTTCCTTTCTGTATAATATCAAGATGTAGAAAAAGAAGAAAATTGGAATAATGATCCTTGTGTAAAAAAGAAAGGTAATGGAAATGACTTGACTATAGTACCTTGTTTTCCTTTTTTCTTTTGGACTGATAATAAAATAGATGACATGAATGTCTGTATGATGTATCTATTTAAAGAAATGTATCTATTTAATAGTAAATGTATCTATTTAATAGTAAATGATTAGTGTCTTTTAAAACGATGTAATTGTCAATATTAAATTCATCTATGTATCTATTTAATAGTAAATGATTAGTGTCTTTTAAAACGATGTAATTGTCAATATTAAATTCATCGGATGCAATTTGTTGTAATAATGGTATGAAAGGAGTTAATAATTGTTCTAAATATTTTGAAATATTTGCAGTTAGATGTCAAAAGTATACGTGCACTTTTCTGAAATTCTTTGTCATTCTCAAGATATGACTTTTATTGAAGATACAGCAATTTTGCGTGAAATCGAACGCCTAATTTCTCGATAACTCAATCATTTTTCATCAGAAATCTATGAAACTGTGTACTTCTAGGCAGACATGTGCGCCGACAAAATATTTTCGGCGGCGTCGAATGAAATTTTTTACATAGGCGGCAGCGGCGCGAGGCTATGAAAATTTTCTCCACCTTCGGCGGCGGCGTGTAAAAACTGGTTATCGGCGGCGAATCCCCAATTTTAAGTAAAACAACGTTCTCTTTCATCTCTGGCACGATCTTCGTGCACCAATTGTATCTGTACGTTGTTGCATATGAAAGGATAAAAAAGGGCTACACGCTAGATGTCTAAACTAAGGACATAAAAAAAAATGCTATCAGACATTCAAATAGTGGGTTTTGTGGAGAAGTCAATTCTCTACCGATTAAGCTTAGAACGAACTCTTTTGACTGCTGAGTAGTGCCTCAAAAACAACGACTAAATGTGTCCGATTTAAAAAACGTTTCCGCCCTCGGCGACGACAAAAGTTTAACCACATGGCGGCGGCGGCGCACATCTCTGCTTCTAGGTCCAAAGTGATGGGAAACCTGATAAAAACATTCTTGAAAACTTCAAAACCTTCCAAGAGCTTTTCCAGGAACTGAGTTTCCGGAAAAACCACCTCAGAAACCAGTCTTTTTGAAAGTGCCTTGGATCCATAGAAAATCAAATTCTGAACACAATAAGACCTCTGCGAGCCTACCAGAACCTTTTGATCTTGAGAAATCTTCGAAAATCTCTTTTCAAAAAAATGACCGAATTTGATATTTTAGCTTCCTGCCTATTTCCGCTGACCAGAAACGGTAGAAGGTTCGCGATTTTGTGTTCAAAATTTGATTTTCTATGGATCCAACGCACTTTCAAAAAGACTGGTTTCTGGGGTGATTTTTCCGGAAACAGTTACAAATTTGCATTCCTCTTCTTTTCCTTCAGTTATTTTATTTGAATGATAGACATAAAAAGATACCACTGAAAATAACAAAGATATTTTGTGAGTACATGTTTGATTGTAATTAAACAATTATCCCAATGGTGCATATTCTTTTTAGACGAAAATGCGAAACCGGATAAGTTAAATAATAGTCAAATTATATTCAATGAAAATAAACAAAAAATGGCCCCAGTTAACAGTAACGCAATGTTAGAAAAACAATCACTACCATTCGTTACTTCAAAATCAGATTTTATTGCAGAAGAACACGAGAAGCATTTCGTTGAGAAATTGAAAAAGGAAATACTGCACTCACTGCAATCAAAAAGTCTCATAGTAAGTCAGACATAGAGCATTCACTCTGTTAGGGTATTTTAGTGTATCGACCTCCGGGCACAGGTTAGTTGATGTGACTGTGTTTTCTGCTTTTATATACCATCTTTCTTAAGGAAAAACAATGTTGGCAAAAGCTGTCACAAGTGCCACTCGAAAAACATTTTCTAATGTAACATGTTCAACATTATTATCTAAATGGCATGGCGAGAGTGAGATATTGGTTCGTCTATTGTTTAAAATGACAACACATTATGCACCATCAATTATCTTCATCGACGAAATTGAATCATTGTGTTCAAATCGAGACATGTCAGAAGATGAAGCCAGTCTATAATCAAAATTGAAAAGCTTATAAGTTAAAGCATACTTGTTCGTTTTTACATCTTCTAATGTATTATCAAATATGTTAATTTCCTCTAATGCATTTTCATAATTTTTAATTGCATTTTCTAAATTCTTATTTAATTCATGGACATTTCCAAGTTTTTCATAAATTAACAAGTTTTTATCCTGATACATAATTATTTTTAAATGAAGATTAATTGCTTTATCATATATGACAATACATTCACTTAATCCTTTTTCTCTGGCTTCATCATCATTATCAATTAATACTTTTTTAGCATAAATACCATCTATTGTAAGATAAATAAAAACTAAATCTTGAAGAAAAGTTACAAACATTTTATCACTTATTATATTTATTTTATTTGTAAATAGTGTTTGAAATGACGATAGAGATAAATTTGAGTTTTCATCTTCAGCCATTTTTACAGTATCTATCTATTGTTACTTGTTCATGTAAAAGAGCAAGTGTTTTGCTTCTTCTTCAACAGCCTTCGAATAGTCATTTCGTTTAGAATATAATTCAACCAAACTTGTGTGCACTGGCAAATAATAATGTGAATTATCTGAATGTGAAATTTCATATTTTTCTAATGTTTCACCTAATTTCTCCATTTTACAATAAACGTCACCAATTTTATAATAACTCATTTTTATGTCAATATGATTAGCGGAAAGATTAGCAATTTGTATTTCAATTATCTTTTCATATAATTCTAATGACTCACTATAATTGTTTTCATCAAAATAACTGTTTGCAATTAATAAATAATCTTTTACTAAATTGATATGATGATGTGAAAAGTGATTTGATTTTAAATTAACTGACGTATAAACATATGAACGGGCATCATCCTATTTCTCTAATTTTAAATATAATTTCGCTATTTCATAATAAACAATTGCTTTCATAGAAATTGTATACAACTTATTCTGCAATAATCGAACATAATAAAGCATGTGATCAAATGGGAACAAAAGAAAATAATTATTTACTCACAATTGCAATAAAGCTATTGATTATTCAGTGTTTAGACGATAATAATAAGAAGTTATATGAATTAATTCAAATAAAAGATAGTTTATTAAATAATGATGATGTGGATTATAATACAATTTCTATGAAAGCAATTGTTTATTATGAAATAGAGAAATTATATTTAAAATTAGAGAAATAGG